CACCTAATTTAGCTTCCAGACACCCTTTAAACTCCCCTGTAGGCTGCATATTTGCACATTCCGGACGCTGTTTGCAACTCTGCAGTCACACGCTCAGCAAAGTCTTTTCAAGCCACGGCGCCGCAACTGGTGGCAAGATTTCGCTGCATTTCTGTCCAGGGGAGTCCTAGAGGGCTATTCATTGTACTTAACAACGTAAGTCAATACTTTGGCTAATAAAAACAACTACGGGGTTGTGGCGCTAGCTCTCAAGCGGTGGCCTGCAGGCGACAAACATGATCAAGTGCCAACACCTTGGAAAGGAGAATCTGCAGCTCTCATTCGTGTTTGATTCCGATTTTCACATTAAATGGAGTGTTCCAGTAAGAAAAAAGGCAGCAAAAAGATGTTGATTTCGGAAGATGTCAAGCAACAAGGTAGTTCATGGGCACTGCCGCTCGCGGGGGCTTCAGGCACAGCCAAGCGCAAGGCTTCAAGATTACAATGTGCAGTTTCAAGTTGCCTTCAAAGCCCTCAAGAGCATTTTCGGTTCGCTTTTACAAAAAGCAATTCCAGTGAAACGTAGCATGACAAATACGCGGAGGCCTTACAGGCCGTTGCCGGCGTGGACTAAGCGTGCGACTGCTCCCATACAAGTGCAGCAGCGCCCGTGTGCCTCTAAATCGCATATTAGTACTTAAGGGAGACTAGAGTTAAGCTCAGAGACAGGGCAAGGCTCTGCTGCTTTCGTAATATAAGCACTGTTGGGGACACGGGGAGCTACTGTTCATATCAAGAAGCGCCTACACATAAGCCCGTTTTGTGGGTTGTGTTAGTCAGGCAGCGCCTCTGAGAAAGGATTTCATTGAGCGGTACCCCAGGCACACAAAGAAGGAACTAGTGCAGAGCTTTTAGTCGGGAATCTCGACACTATTCAAATCGAGCTGAACATCAGCAGCACTACCACAAAATGATATCGTGGAATTTTGAGAACGTGCTTATCAGCCGATTTCGTTCCTCGGATGAGCACCGGAGCCCATAAACTACCTTTCTGGTCATGCATCATCAGTGCCCGCCGCCTCTGCCCCTATTTCTTGCAAATAGGGCAGCCAACGGCACTCGCGAGGCCCGTCATTCCCCCCTTACTGGGGCACGTTTTAGTTCGTCTCGCATGACCGAGTTCCACTTAGCACCATCCACAGCCCCATAATGCCACGAAACTGAGCCTAGTACTAAAAAAAGAATGCTATGAGGCGTTGCTGTATAGCTTCACGTGTGACCAGGCTGTCGGTACAGGGTGGTGGCCTCTGTCGCCAACCCCGCCAAAAAGTTGAGCGCCACCAGAGGAGATTCATCAGCCACTGCAGCTGCAGCTGCATTGACCTTACGTAGAAATTGATTTTTCACCTTTAAGCCCACAGCTTTGATTGATTGTGTTGAGTTGCTTTTGAATACGAAGAGCTCCTGCATCTCCTCGGAGTGCTGGCTGCCTCTGGTCTGACCCGATCTTTCCCATGATAGCGTTACAAACTAGTTCCTCGAGACCACCGTTGCCTATAGCTTTGCATTCTTTGGGGATCGTTAGTTTGGTGTCTTTGTTCGCTACTTTGCCATTACTTGCAGCAGGCGCCTAAAAATCGGCCCTGGCGGACGGGCCTCTCTCTTTCCTCTAACTTTAGGATACTCTTGCGTTGCGGGGTAGCGATTATCTTGTTACACTCAAAAGTGTACTTAAAATTCCGCTAACGAACGCCCAAGCTCTACACGATTCAGAGACGGTAACAGTTCACTCTCCACGGGCAACCTTAAGTGACCTGAAATGCTGTACCTGTTCCAAGAGAATGCGCAATGCACACTGAAATGCATTACAATGAAATGCCCACTTTGTTGATGTTAAGACGAAAAGGCCGCAACTCCACGCAAAATAAAAACTGTAGCTATGGACGGCCACGACTAACACAGGTTTCGTGCACTGGGACAGCCGACGCTCATCTTCAGCTGAATACGGGCTACCCTCAAGACTAACTCACAAAAGTTTCAAAAATACCACACGAAGATATAATTTCATGGGACAGAATGACCCGAAAGGGCTGCGTTTGTGGCTGGTTGGCTGCATGTCTGGCCAGTCACTCGAGTGCATGCACATAGCGAGTGTGAGAGCGTGTCTGCGATCTGTGACGGTAATAATCCTCTTTTGCAGTCAATTCCTATTTTATACAGCCGCTATGCGGCAACGGATTGCTCCACTACTGCTCGCAGCACCGCTCGTCTTCGTCCCAGCGAACACTGCCAGGCACAGCCGTCCGTCAACTATTCGGCACTGATCGAGCTCCAAGGGACCTGGCACAAGGTCTGTCTTTTCGCACGATTTCAGTTACAGGTCACAAAAACTCTACCGTGGCATTTTGGTTTGCACACATGTAGCCACAAAACGCGGGTTTTGTTCGCCAGCCTGTGTTAACCGGCTTCGCCTTTCGCGTACATTTCGCTGTAGCAAACCTCCACGACAGCAGCCCGTAGCTGCTGGCCAGAAGGGGCACGGTTCACTGTGGATCTTCATTCATCGGAAGGCAGTAAACTCAGCCAATTGGACGCGAAGGTCCTTCTGACTGAGTGCAGTCGTCTTGCATGTTTGGTGAGACTCAGGCCTTCCCGGGAGAAGCACTCAAGACAGCACCGCACCTGCACTTATCTGTAGAATGTCGAGACGCTACGACTCGCGCACAACCACATTTTCCCCCGAAGGGAGGTTGTACCAGGTGGAGTACGCTCTAGAGGCAATCAACAATGCCTCTTCAACGCTAGGCATCCTCGCCAAGGATGGCGTTGTCCTAGCTGCTGACAAGATGGTCACTTCCAAACTCCTTGATCAAGGAAGGTCTAAGGAGAAGTTGTACAAGGTAGTGTGCACGAACAGGCGTACAGGACCTCCACATGCGCCTATCGGCGTTTCTAAGCCCTTTTTGCATGCCTTTTTGCATTTCACGTAGCAATTTTTGTCTATAATTGCGTTAATATACTTGCGGAGCAGCTACACTACTAGAAAAGAAGAGTGGGGCTGGTTTCGCGGGCTTTGCTGCAGTTGCTGCAGCGGTGTCTGAAGGCAGCACATGTGTGAACTGCCTTTTCGCCGCTTCAGGTGGACAACCACGTGATGTGCGCAGTCGCGGGCTTGACGGCTGATGCCAACATTCTCATTAATCAGGCAAGAGTCAACGCGCAGCGCTTTTTGTATCACTACGGAGAGCCGCAGCCAATAGAGCAGCTGGTGGTGCAGCTGTGCGACATCAAGCAGGTACGTAGTACCCAATCTTCCCACTTGGTCATATTTTCATGTCTTTTCCTTTTTTTTCTACAGTAAAAACGAGTTATAGCTCTCTATTTCGGAAGAACAGCGCTTAGAGTGGGATCCTTTGGCGGGGAGGGAGTCGGGGCTGTAAGAAAAATGCAAAACTTCGAATATTTGTGTTCAGTCCTACACACAATTCGGCGGTCTACGCCCATTCGGCGTGAGCTTTCTCTTTGCCGGCTGGGATAAGCACCACGGCTTCCAGTTGTACCACACGGACCCCTCGGGCAACTACTCGGGGTGGAAGGCCACAGCCATCGGGGTGAACAACCAGTCTGCGCAAACCATCCTAAAGCAGGTGAGCACGACGGCGCTTATACAGCTTTTTTGCTGCAGCGCCCCTACAAAACAACCTGTTTGGCTGCCTTCCTGGCTGGTGTGCTACAAAAGAATGGGCAAACAACCCTCTGTGATGATGTCTGAGTTCCTACGTGCACCAAATAGTTGCAGTTTTTGCGGCTACTGGCGTTTTGGTTAACCAACAGCTGCTGTGTGCTGATGGGCTTGACGCAGGAACTGCGAGACGATATGGACGTCGCAGCAGCTCTTGATTTAGCAGCCAAAGTGCTCAACAAAACTATGGATACCGCGGCGCCCAGTGCAGACAAGCTCGAGATTGCAGTTTTGCAATTCGACCCAAAGAACCCCACTGTTCTTGAGCAGCGGTCTCTGCCCACAAAGGAGGTTGAAGTTCTAATGAAAAGAGCGCAGGAGCAGCAGGCAGAGGCGCAGTAGAGCGTGCTGAACAAGAAGTGATCTGGTGACCCGACAGTGTTGTTCACTTCCACTGATGCAACGCGAAGAAATAAAGACCCAGGTGTTCGCAGACTTCCCCAGAAGTGGCGCATACTTGTGTACAAGTGCCCGGACTACCTTAGGCACTGCGTAGCTCTCGAGAAGTGGCACATACTGCGGTCAGCAGGCTTGACCGTGACGCATGCACTCGCACTAGTTGATGGTTTTCCTACACAGACTACATGCCATTACATTTCAATGTTGGTCTGTCTAGCTCGGTCAAGCGCTAGCTCCGGCGTTTGAAACTGAACCTCCTGGAGGAAAAGGAGCTTTCCGTGAAACGCTACTCGACTTCTGATTGCTGTACCAAATAGCTCCTACTGACTACACAAAGTAGCGCTACATCTGAAGGCTCTTTGGTGAAACGCAATGAACTGCTCGTGTCAGTGAACGCGCACCAGATTGGCAAGTTGCAAGTCAATTGTTCGTCACATGTTGCTGACTGAATACCGGCGTCGAGCCAGCATCAAGCTGCAGTTAAATGCTTTCACACCGCAAAGGGATGCGCGTGGGGAGCCGAGGCAGTCACCCGCACTGACCAAACCTCTCCTCAAAGGAGTGCGCAGCAACCCCGATCACATGTGACTCTGAAGCACCCCTGGGCTGCCGCTAGTCCAAGTTAAGTCGCGTAGTCCAGAGCCCCCCGCAGCCTCCACCAGCTCTTGTCTGCTTCTACACTATGCAAGTAACGAACTCGACCGGCACAGTGGAGCCTTCAAAGCGCACTGACAGCCGCCCGAGCTGTACCGCGGCTGACTACTCCCTGGCGGTTGTCTGACGCCTCTGCAAATGGCCGCAGAGTCCATGCTGGTGCTTCGCCCGCGCGGCTAAGCACGTTGCTGCGGTCTGCGTCGTTCAAAAGCAGCGACTCCTGCTTTCTGCATGCGTCTTCTTCTTGGCCCGCGGCCCCCTGCTGGTCGCCAGCTGTTCCACGCGAGGCAGGAACAGGCTCGCGACGCTCCTGCCCATTTTCTGCAACTTCTTGCACATCAGGGCACCGCGCGTTCAACTCTCTATCCGAAAGTCGTGTGCAGTTTGCACATTCCAGCTGCTGCACGGGCTGTCTCGGGGCGGAGGATACAAATGCATCAACACCCTGACGGGCCTCACGAAACGCGGTGTCTTTGCACCCGAGCTGTTCGTGGCATTCGTCAGCAGAAGGCACAGGTGTGCAGTCGCAGTTGCTTCTGTCTGAAGGAGATGGAACAGTGGAATCCTGGAGTGAACGAGGAGTGCCCGTTCGCGAGTTGGTCCCATCTTCCTCAGTGCTGGAGTCCTCGCAAGTCCTCCCGGCTGCTGTCGATTGCACCTCTTCAGTAACAGTCTCTTTCTCGACGCTGACAGCTCGCTCGCCTTCAGCAGAGTCTTCGGGGGATGCGCTGCTGCCGAGAGAAGAAAAAGAGCTGTTTGCGACTGTCTTCGCGTTCGTCTCCAGACACAAATGCCCTTTCCCCGTATCAGCGGCCGGGAAAGCTGCACTCGGGACAGGAGGCCGAGCAGGGCCAATCACCCGCGCCACTTTGGGCTGCGGCTGTTTGCTCGGCAAGCAATATGACACCACCCTCTTGCGAGTCGATGAAGTAGGAGGCACCCATCCTCCTTGAGCCGGCCGGCGCTGCACATTAAGATAACGCGGCTCTCTTTTCACGCATTCGTGAAGACTGGCGAGTTGCGCGCGAAATGACTCATTTGGCCTCGCCAGGGGGTTTCGGCGACGGACGAAGGCAAGCGCCTCGTCCGAAGACATGTCCTCATACTTTATCAAGTAAGAGCAAATGAACGCAACTGACCGCGAAACACCCTGGCTACAGTGAATCAGAAGGTTGCCGTCCTCTCGCGTGCGGCAAGTTTCCATAAACTCCCACACATTCTGGAAGTACGGTTGTAGCGTCTCGGCTTGGGTGTCGAAGATCGGAACCCGCAAGTACCTGAAGGCAAGGCGAGAGCCTCGAGTGAGGCGCTCGTGGAAATTCGGCACGCCGCCTTCGCCACAAGGCGGCGTGCAGTTAATTATATACACAATCTTCCGTCGCCTCAGCAGCTTCTCGTTCCGGGCGACTTTCTTGTCGCCCCAGAAAAGCCATGGAAAGCGAACGGAATCAAGTGGCTCCAGATCGCAAGAATTGTCGTGAGCCTCCATTTCCCCACCAAAGAGGCAGAGACGCACCAGCTAGCCACCGAACTGGAGCGAAGGTGAAAGCGCACGCCCTTACCTCACCCAAAATTCCATAAGCGAGGCGACTGAATAGCCGGTGATGCTGGTGATCGGCGAGCTGCAGTGCAAGAAGACTGACTTTGAATAAATACTCCAGTGAGACCACCAAAAAAAGTGGTCCCGGACGCACGGCTACAGAGTGGCCTTTCAAGGACCACTGTAGGCCGGCGCAGAGCTCCGAAAATCACTCTTTCCAGCAAGCCGTTGAAGATTGTGCCGAAGAGTGTCGCCGAACAATCGCGCCTTTCAAAGAAGACTTTGATTCAGATTAGAAAAAGAAACGATAAAATTCCCAGTATTTGAAAGAACTGCTCTGCACTGGGCTGCGTGGAGTCACGAGCTCGGTCAGTGAAGCGGCCAGCTGGCACGGTGGCTTGCATGCCACTAGCGCCCCATCCGACGCCACCCACCAAAACTCCCGCGTATGGTGATCTTCTGTAAAGGCAAGAGTAAATTCACTCCCTGAATATGAGGAAAACAAGTCTACAATGGAGAAGGAAGAGGAGCTCCACTGGCGCCCCGTCCAACGCGACCCGGCAAAACTCCAACGTCTTGTGGTCTTCTCTGAAGGCGAGAGTAAACTGATTCGCTCAAAACGAAGAAAAATACTCTTCAATGGAGAAGATGAAGCAGCTGGACTCCCGCTTCACGAAAAGCTTCTCATGCGTGACTGGCGCGGTACGACCGGACGTGTTGAAAAAATGGCGGTCCAGAGGCCATACGCAATCCCCTCTGTCTTTATACACTAGCCAAGAAAGGCATTCACTTTTTCACGCATTACCTCTGAAAGACAGTGAGCGACGTTCCCTTCAAAGCAGGCAGGGAACAGTTACCGGTGCAATAGGGGCCAAGAAAGGGCTGAAGCCAGCCCCAAGTTCCGGTATCTTCCACTGCAGCCTCTATGAAGCTGGCACTATTTAAAACAATTGAGCTGAAAATCACACACTTAACTTCACTTCCTCTCACGCTGAACACAAATATTTCGGAAAAGCTGCAGTACAGCTAACGGCAATGTCGCCGCTCAGGCCCACAGAACATGTAGGATTCTGTACTCATGCTTGAATGCATGGCATCCACTTTCTCCGTCACAAGACGAAATTTTCGAATTTTATAATTGCCTCTGAGGCTTACGACGACTGGAGCAGCTCCCACGTAGACAGTAGAGGGTGTTCAATGATTGAATGGTGTGCGCTACTCTTTTGCTTCCAGTCCCCAGCTGCCCAGAAAGGCACCACTTGTAGTTCTCTAAGTCTTACTGCGTGTACATTATTAACAAAATCTTCAGAAGATTACAATTGTTTACTACGCTACTGGGCCACCTGAGGTCCTACGGGTCGCAGCAAGAGGGACAGGACAGAATTCAGCGTGGAGCTGATATTCTCCAGCGGTTCAAGCATCTTTGCATGCATGACTGAAAGGAGCGCACATCATACATGCATAGTAGCCATTTCTAGTCTTCCGGTCTTCTAAGAGTCCCTTTTAGCCTAGGCAACCCTATGACACCGTCTAACGAGCGTCTTCGAGAAGCTCTACTCTGACGGCAAGATTTATAGCCCTGTAGAGACCTTCGTCTCTCTGGTATGGGATTCTCAGTAGGTTGATACCCCGCCTAGGAAATACCATCAGAAAAGTTCACGGACACGGCGGGGGCCACGCATTTCAGTAGGATGGATAGCGCTCAAGAAGCCACAGTCGAAATCGAACATTGGTGAGAAGCGAATGAGCACTTAGGCGCTGCCTCGATGCAGTGACTTTTAAAATGATTACTGCCTGCTGGAGACAGAGAGGCAACGTACTGCAACGACTGGTGCGCACGTGACTGCTGGAATTTTCTCTCAGCATCGGGTGTGAGGGTCACCAAACTTATACACGCCACACAGAGAGCAAATACCAGGACTATGCGTCCAAAGGTAGGCCTTTTTCTCTTATGGACTCGGTGTAATAGAGGACGGTGCGGCAGCAAGCTTCCTACCATCCAAGCGAAAACGCATACTGCAAATCACCAGCCGATGCTCCTGCTTGGACTGCACCCTCAGAGGCACGAGTTGGACTTTCCATGAACACAGCTCCTATTTAAGAATATGTCGCCAAAAGCGCAGAGCCACATATTTTTGCTAATGCTCTGCTGCAGTTGGTCAGAGCATTTCCGAAAATGTCTCGTCAGACATGCAAGTTCTCGTGAGACTCCCTTTATCAACACAATGCTACGACGCTTTAGAGCCACAGTAGCTCGTACCTCAATGGAAGGTAGTCCAACTCACGGATCTGCCTGTTAACTTGCCGCTGAAACTGTAGTTTTAAGCATTCTTCTGTTTTAAGTCTTCAAAGTGCTCCTTTCATATGCCTTTAGGTAAATCCCCAACCCAATTTGGGGCGGCATCGCGATGTAGTTCTCATAAGAGACCCGTATAGCAACATTCATTGTCCGTTTCTGGAATTTCCCCGAAAGCAATCCAGAAAATATATGAGTTGCTTTTTGGAGCACTGGAAGCAGAGACAAAGGGAATGGAGTTATTTTTCGTTTAGCCTAGCTATTGTCGTTGCCGTAGGCATGCAACACAGTTCTAGTAGTTTAAGTCGCAGTGCAGGCTGCTCTACGCTTGACTTCTCGCAGATAATGCAGTAGATGCAGCGGGGAGGGTCACATGCAGGTTCCGCTATCCAAGACTGGGTGCTTTCGAAGTCTTTCTGCGAATTCCGTCAATAAACAGAAAAATTGTACGTCACTGTACATTGCTCGAAAATAGCGGAGAGCCTGTCTATTTGCCTGCATTCTAAGAAACATAGTTTGTCTTTTGTCAGCAGTGACAGGCAACGTATGTGTGGTTCCGTGCACACGGCTTGTAAGAGGAGGGGACGCTTTTCATGTTGCGCTATTGGGTCTTCCTGCAGCAAATTTTTTCCAAGTTAACATGTGGCAAGTGGCCAACTCCGGACGCTGTTGCAAAGCGTATTCAACGAGCTCTGCAACAGCCATCCACCTTTTTAGATGATGGGCCTCTTGCCCCTCTTAAAGTAGCCGGGCCTTTGTCACAACCAGCTTCACAATATCGCCCGGAGAGCGCAGTATGGAAATGTTTACCGTCGCCCCCACAGAAAGATGCGCGACGGCAGCCCTTTTAGCTCGCCTGCTAGGTTGTATTTTAAGCAGAATCAGATCATCGACTGGTTATTCGTTTGAGATGTACTGTTCAATGCCCTGCTGGCAGGCCTCTTCTCACCATACATCAGCCTCTGGTCCTGGTGGAAATGTAAAGCAGCATCGCAGTTCAAAAGAAAGTAAGACGGATGCCAGTTCGAGTTATCTTCGAGACGCCGGAGACAGGGGTGTTTCAGAAACTCTTACCGGTGGGCAAGCGCTAACAAGCCATGGTACAGATGGAGAAGGTAGCCCAGAAGGCGGTACGTTTGCCATTCTGTACACAGCAAGTCTCTCCTATCAGGAAAGGAGATTTTGGTCTCCTTGATATCTTGCTTTCCTGTTTGACTGGTGTCCCTGTCGTGAACAGCTAGTCAGCCTACAGATGCTTCTCCTGGGAAGTCCAAGGCAAAAAAGGGCAAAAGTTCGAGTAGAAAAGAAGAACGACCGAAAGGTGGCTCCAATGAAACTGGAAACGACGCGACTGCAGATCCAGAGCTCGCTAAAATGACCAGCTCCGAAAACAAGTCCAAGAAACATAGGACCAAAGAAGAGGATTCGAGTAACGTGAGCGTCAAGGCAGGAGGCAGCACAGGGGAGGAAAGTCCGTCATTGCAGTTGAAAAAAGATAAAAAAAAGAAACATAAAGATAAAGAGAACGAGTTGAAGGCTGAGAGCCCGAGCCAAGCGAGCTTGAAAGTAGAAGGCACCGAAGAACAGGAGCCGTCATCAAATGCTGAAAAGCCAAAGAAACAAAAGTCTAAGCACAGCAAGGACAAGGGTGAAAGCAGTCATGGTCCAAGTCAAACAAGTGACGGAGGAGCAGACGACGCATCAGCGGAGAAAGCTGGTGACTCAGGCACTACGGGCGAAAAAAAGAAGAAGAAAAGCAAAAGTGAGACAGAAGGTGAGCCAGTCGGCAGTGAAGAAGGTGCAACAGCAAAATCTGATGCAAAAAAGAAGAAAAAAAAGACAGATGAAGAAAAATCGCATGAAGAACTACCTTCAGGAGATAGTGTGAATGCTAAAGATGGTGGGAAAAAGAAAAAGAAGAAAGACAAGGACGAAAGCAAAGAATCTGCAGGGACGCATGAGAGTAATGAGGAGAAAGCGCCTGAAGAGCTACAAGCAGGAGATGGCGTGAACGCTGCCAAAGAAGCTGGAAAGAAAAAAAAGAAGAAAGACAAAGACGAAAGCAAAGAATCTGAAGGGACGCATGGGACTAATGAGGAGAAAGCGCCTGAAGAGCTACCAGCAGGAGACGCTGTGAGCGTTGCCAAAGAAGCTGGAAAGAAGAAAAAGAAGAAAGACAAGGACGAAAGCAAAGAATCTGAAGGGACGCATGAGAGTGGCAACCCTGATTCAGAAAAGACAATGGAAAAAAAGAAGGAAAAAAGCAAGACAAAAGATGCTGGCGAAAACGCTGAAGGAAAGAATGGCGACTCTGCCAACAAGGAGGAAAAGAAAAAGAAGAAAGCCAAGGAAGAGGCAAAAGACCAAGGAGAAAACGCCGGAGATTCGGCCACAGAAGCGAAAGAAAAATCGAAGCGGGCCGATGAGAAAAAAGACGCACTAGTATCTCCCGAAAAGCAGGAGGACGAAACAGAAGCTCCAGACGCCAAAAAAAAGAAAAAAAAGGACAAGTCAGAGGCACAAGATGCAGCAACGAGCAAGCATGAAAGTGGGACTGACGAAAGCAAGTCGAAGAAGAAAAAAAAGGAGAAAAGCGACGCTCCTGATGCAATGGACGATGGTGGAGAGAAACAGAAATCCACAAGCAGCTCGGCCCCTAACTTTTCTAGTCGTAAGTACTGCCACTCTCTGCCAAGACAAATATTCTTACACTGAACCATATTTTCAACGAAAGTGTCTATTGCCGTTATGGCTTCTCTGACTCTGATTATATGCAGATCCTGCCTCTACAATTACCAGGAACTACGAACTAAAGCTTCCAGTGGGAGCAAAGCAAACCCAGGCAAGCTTCTACACAGAATGTATATCGTTGTATCAGCGAAATGCCCTAAGTGCCCTCTCTCCGCGTCTCGCAATAAGCACCCTTCCCGCCAGGCTCACTGTATACAGCCAGCCTATTACGGAGGCTAAGGCTTGTGACACAAACGCATGTGTGGACAAGCGTGTCATTTTGCTCCTTTTGTGCATGACGCACCCAGAGGCTGTCATACCAGAATCCAAAAGATGAAAGCATAGAGATTGTTATTACATCATCTGATTCTGACGTCATGACTCCCAAGTACGCTGACTCATTTCATTAGTAGGTAGGTTCTGTGGCGCCAAGGTGGTGCGAACACAAGCGCACTATTGATTCGAAATGACTAATTTGCGCTTGCAGGAAGCCTGAAATGACACTGGGCCCTGGCGAGAGTGTGAAGATACCCGTATCATTCCAAGAGGTCTGTAACGCAATCGCCTTGACTAGCGCACCGAGCGGGGGCTCTGCAGCAGCTAGGTGCCAGGAATAGGCAACTCCGTTTTGTAGTTCCGATATGCCAAGTTCTGCCTTTATCATTTAGGTCGCTGAACCATGCGAGAAAACTGTGTACCTCTACATGTTGCAAAAAGGATCCGATCAAATAATGTACGGCGAAAAAGAGAGCAGCCTTGCTAGCAATTCATCGGCTTTTGGCTAGAGAGAGCTTTGCCGACCTCAGTACTCGTTGGCAACTTAGAACCAGAGAGCTTGGATTGCGCCATAGTGTATGCACGTAGCAGCAGCCTGCACATCGTTGCTCCCAACTAAAGAGCATCCCTGGGTCCGTTGGCTCCATCTGCAAGAGGACATATGCAGGTTTTTGGGATTTTGATTGCTTGTGCTCAGGGAGTGTGTGCAAATCACCCTTACCTTCAACTAGACCTCGCACCTACGGTGCATGGTGCACGCAAACTGAAGACAAAAATCGGTACTGCAGGAGAAGTCGCGCAGACTCGCAAGCTCAGCCCCACTTGCTTCTCGCAGCTACAAGAGACAGATTCAGGCGGTACACGCCTTGCACCATTGGTCGCATGTTCCTACTGTGAGACTAGTGTCAAATACGGCATAGACTAAACATGAGAACGTGCTGTGCTGTTCCTTTTAGTTGCGATTGACCATTCCCACAGCCAACTGAAAGAAAGATTAGTCGGGGCTATTTCACCTGGGCAGTTCCCAGTACTAACCAACTCTGCGTTATGTCGATTGGGGATGTACACTACAAAAGAGCTGTAATCCCCTCGGTGTGGCCTCGCAACAAAGCCAGCACCGCAGATGCCATGCAATAGGTCGTTAAACGATGACGAAAAATGTGTTGTCGTTCGACGTTCACAAACAAAAATGATAAGCCAAAATGTTCATCGAACGGGATACACCCATGTTTTAGTTCATGGATGATTGCTCCTTCAGCTGTTTTAGGACCTGACTGGGTGTAAGAATGCTTGTGCCGCCTGAGTAAGCAGTAAAAGCACATGTGCGAAGTAGAACATAAACTAATTTCATTTCAGCGCACTAATTGAATGACACAAGGAAGTAAAGCTAGGAGACTTGCCTAATTAGACCCACCAATAAAGATTTCGCAGTTAAGCTCTTTCGATACTTCATACGCGCATCTCATTTCGGACTGTAAGATTCCGCCCAAAACGAAAACTACCAGGCGTTTTTTTGATTTCTCAAGGGCATTAACAGAGCTCTGCGGCTGAAAATTCCAGGCAGCGAAAATGATTTCAACAGCCATAATGCGCTGAAAGTACTGAAACATTGGAACAACACTGTCTGGAGTCACTTTTACGGGAATGCTTACCTTCTGCACAACCTCCGGTAAAGCAGAATCCCAGGTCCACTCTGTCGAACGCCCAATGACGGAAGCTGCAAGAGGACAAGGATGGCAAAACATAGCAAAAAGTTTTTCTTACAAGGACTGTGCAGGGAAGTAGAGTGTCAGCTTATAATGTCAAAGGAACAGGAAAAAAAGCAGTTTCCACTGAGAAACGGGACACGCGCACTTTCTCGCTTTGCCCGCACTGGTTCTTCGACAGCGCTTCTCCCCCTGAAAATAAAGTGCAATGCCTGAAATCGAATCTCGTGAAAATGAAATCACGAAAAAAATCGTGCAAGAGCCTTCTGTATGTTGGACTCGACAATACTCACGACGGCTCATCCACGAAAGGGTAGAGACCTCGGTGTAGGGTTCCCTGGATTGACTTCTGCGCTCCAAAACGCATCAGAATGGTAGGCGCTAAAAAGAAGCGTAGAACTCCCGCCCTTCCAATTAAAGGTTTGTTGTTCGTGTATTGTTCCTCACTTCCATTATCTCACGGATTGCCGGCTCAAACCTTGACAAGTCGTAGCGGGCCCGCTTTGCTCGTTGTTTGAAAAACCTGACTTTGTCCCGGTCTTCCTCAAAACGATGGGCAGGCTTAGATTTCTGCATTATTGGAAAGCATAAGCAGTCGTACTGCCGCACTTTAAAATGCGAATGGCAGCCTTTAGCTTGTGTGCACTCGAAGAAAATCCAAGCTCCCACACGAATGTTGAACACTTTTTGTGAGCAGACGCTGTTCGCACCACGCTACTTCCCCATGAATTCTACTGGTCATGACCTTACAGAAGCTTGCTCGCGCGACAAGGAAGCCGTGTGGAGTTCAACTGCGCCACACAAAAAGAAACCCAGAATTGATCATCACAAGGGCGGTGGGCTTGAAAGCGTGGAACGCTCGTCACCATTTGCTTGTGCAGTGTGCAGTAACATCACCCACGTTCTAGGAATTTTTGAATACAGCGTTGATTAACTAGGCTCATCTGCGCTGTTTCCATAACCTGAAGGCAAAACCCACACAGCGAGCTGTAGCGTAAACAGTAACTACAGGAAGTTCGGCAATCTTGACAATTGACTAGATCTATCTCGTGCTTGCCTTCGTCCGATCTGCAGTATCCATGCCAAGCATTTGAGTAAACTCAAGCAGAAGTAGTCGAAGCTTCTCATCAGACCTGAGACACAGCACACCTAGAAAACCCAATAGAACACTTTGAAGCGCTTCTCGTATTCGCCACATGGCTGGCAGAGCCCACTATTATTATTATAAAGGCCCACCCGATTGTGCCATCAGAGACCAGTGATGCAACCGCTGCTAGCAGCTTCGTTGCACTGATTTCCTTTCCATCTTTGTCGACGCCACAGCACAGGTCCTGGAAAGAAATTTTAACATTACAAGGGCTCTTTTGTTTACGTTGTCGAATCGGTGGCAGCATCTAGCTCTCCAAGATTGTTCTGGTTGCTTAGCTAGGGCCTCGTGAGGGGCTGCAAGCTTTTGCCCAAACCGAACAACGACATGCAGCTCCGCATAAAACATACCTGCTCCACGGCACCAACAGTCATGATCCTCAGATCTTGAAGCTTATCGAAGCACTTCTCACTGAGAGTAACGTGTGTCCAATACTGGAAGAATACCACACACAAAACAAGCAACTAAATTGAGATATCTACATTACCTCCGAAATCTGCTGATTTATCAAAAGGTGTCATTTAGCAGTACCCTTGACAGCGCCTCTTGGTATTGCGGAAGGGAGCGAATAGCTTTCAAGGTGTCTTCCGAGGTTGTTGCCTGAAACGGGACAGAAATCGACGCCACGGAAGATTTATTCTGGGGAAGGAAGCATGCACGTGGAACACGTATCCTCAAAAAGTCGAAGACTTGATGGGATTTGCTTCGACAGTGCCTTACCATATTTTGCTGCATTTTGGCTGTGCTGTTTTCCTTAAGAAATAGTTGGATTTCCTCCTGGACGCTCTGATTCACATCCTGAATGTGTTGGTGACGATAGCGAACCCACACCTCATCTTGTTCACCAAGTATGGCCTGGCCACAGTATCGCACTGCGCGCAGGTGCGTGCAACGAGAATGCCAGTGGTATTTTCCGTAGGCAAAACTACTTTTGGGATACCACATTAACGAGGCTTTGCAAACTCCTTGGCAGCTCACCTTCTTCCTTTCGACCACTCCCATATTGTTTGTCACATCATACCTGAGCACGCCAGCAGAGCAAACGCATCCATAGTGCGGTCCTCTCATGCTCTTCATGCTTCGCACAAACTACAAAACCGAATTACGCCCCGCGGCCCTTCGCTAATTACGCCTTAACATCCACGCAATGCCTGCATACTCGAAGACATCCTCTAGTACTTCTGGCGTGTCGGAATGTGAAGCTTTTGATGAATTATGACAGCAAACCGGAAGCTCCAAAACGTCATACGCTAGAGCCTGCGCAGAAAAAAAAGATGTGATTCAAAACGTGCCTACTGCTCGACGCAAAAATAAAAAGCAATTTGCGGTACGTAGAGCTATGGTCGTGGTTTGCTTATGGGATTTAGAGTTAAACCTTCAGACCTGGTAAGTGTACTCGTGCACAAAAAGTGGCGCCAGGTCAACAGAACGATCCAAAATGAGGAGTATTGTGTCTCGTTCATCAGATGGCTGCAAAAGCGAATCGCGCAACGGCGAAACACGGTAACACTCTAGATGGGAACAGGAGGAGTGGACAAGCTGTTCAAAGAAGCTCAAAAGCAGACTTACCGGAATCTTTTCAGATTTTAGTCCCTTATGAACAAGTGTTGCCAGTTGCTCACACCACGGAAGCTGGTTTCTATGATACCGAATTGCAGGTTTCTGGCTCATTGTTACGCAAAGGGAGACCAGCTGAATAAGTGCACAAACATGTCAAAATGCACTCGGATTCACTTGCACAGCCGCTAGCAACTCATCTTGACTAAGAGCAATACGAATTTAAGGGAAAGCTTCTTACATCATCAGCAATCTTCTGTAGCAGATACGGTGAGGGAAGAGGGAACAACTGGAATAGGGCATCAGGCATTCCGAAGTGGAAAACCCGTTGCTCATATGCTGCAGCGAAACCAGAATGCCCCATCTTAAACCAACAATTGCAAAGCCTCGCAAAAGCACAAGAACTACTCACGTTTTCTCCACAAAAAGCAGCACCAACTAGAAGTGAAGAATTCGGTGCGTTATGCGAGCTTACCCACGAAACTCAAGTTAAACTCAACGAGGCATCGTATTCTCGGGAGCAAGCTGGGCGAGTCAGCCAAACTGGCCATTATCTTACTGGAATCGGCTGAGGAAACAATTTAGCTGCAGCAGATTAAGCCCTACATGACAAGTCTGTGAGCGGGTCGAAAGCACTCGGGATGTGAAAAAGTACCGAAACAGTGTGAAAAAATGCATGAAATGGCCCTTCGTTGCTCTCGAGTGATGAGCTGATAGCAATCGAGCTAAACAGCTCCAGATGTGACTTACGGATGTATGCACTGAAGTAAACATACGCTGAGCGGTACTGGGGTTTTTTCTCGTCCTTAAAATCCTTTATGAGTGCCTGCACTGAATCTTCAGACGGAGAAAGGAAATACAGAGCGTTGAGCTCCGGCAGTGGCTGGCGCTGTTTCGATATTAGTTCCACAACTGCACCACACGCATGCCAACAAACAATGAAAGTACTCGACCAGTAGTCAGTGCGTTCTTTGGCACGATTAGCTTAGAAGTACTTGCACTGGAAAATAGGACGAGAACTATTTTTTGTGTTCGCATGAATCCAACTGAAAACTCGCTTGCGCTTACTCGTTACCCCATCGTTAAGGACGTCATACACGCTGCAGCACGAAGACAAAATGCCCAGAGTTCTGCTGTCTACCACCATGGCAATGTAATTCCCCGGCCCGCCAACTTGGCGAATCATTTCCTCCAGAAGCCCTGTGAAAATGCGTCTAGATAGCGCAGAGCCTGGTATAAGGCACAAACTCAATAAGTGAGCGTTCAGAGGAAATCAGACACTCCGATGTGGCTTTGAAGGATCGGCTGAACTCTGGAGTTGTTGTGTACTCACGCACTCCGCTTGCTCATGGCCTTGAGTGAGGCCATTTTCCTTATGAGTGGTGAGGAAGGCGCTGAGGCTCATTTAGGCCCAAAAAAAGCAGAGTGCACCTCAGTAGTCGGCTGCAGAGGGTTTGCAAGCCATCAAGGTCGACCTCCTTGTGGCTGTTGTTCCATGCTTTAAGCGGCTGGTCTACCCATCCTTTTACTCTGGCAACAGTCCTGTTGTGGCGAAGCGAGGCAGAAGAGCTCACACAGCTCTAAGCACAGCCTCTAAACCTTCCCTGAAGACTGTGTGACGTCGCAAAGCGAAATATCATCCCAGGACTGCCGTATCACTCGGTGATTGTTGTGGGCACCCTAAAGTGGCTAAAACGCGTGAGTTGCTTGGTGTAACTTGCAATACCTCCTTTCCCCTGTACTTTTGAGCTAGATCTTGTTTCCTCTTTAGTGAAAGAAAATTTGTGGAAGCCTCTGCTGGGCATGCGCGATCCTTGGGCCCGGTCTATGCGAAGGAAGGGCCCCGAATCAGCCACTTGAGCGGAGCCAAGAAGGCTGCTGCAAACCTGAGGCGAGGCGAAACTGCCCCTTATTTGCTTATAACTAATGGAGAGGCAGCATTGTCTCAGCATTTCTAGTTCGCCATGAAGAAGCGCTGTTGACAACGCCTAATGAAGACGACCTGGAAAGGATGGGACTGCGACTCCTGAAGCGCCGATCCACACATTTGCATCTCCTAAGAAATGAAACACATCAAATTATGTGATTCTTAAACGGCAAATATTAGTGAGATTTCAGGCGCAGTCAGACGCCAACTTCAGTGGCAGCGGTGACCCAGCTGTATTCCAAGACAAAGGTGATCAACAATGATGAGTATGCGATGGCATTCTAGAAAGTGACTGCAGTAGCTTACTTAATGTAAAAGGGCATTTACTTTATGGGTGTGGTCCTCCCTCAAGACGATGCTGGAAGCGCCGACGCCGCCCTTGTCTCAAGGGCCATTGTCTCACCATGTACCAATATCTCAGCAGTTTCTTCATCTTCTCCTAGGAGATGATGCAGCAGCCGCCTTGACGCTAGGTGAAGATGTAAATGCTAAGTCCATAGACAAGCCGACGCCATCGAATGGGCTCACGAGGCCGAACCTCACGGACGAGCTGCAGGACGAAAGTCGGCAGTTCCAGGCATCCTATGAGGCAACCCTCCCTACAGGCGGCGCCGAGGGAAACACTATAAAGGTCCCAGGCATCGATGAAATTCTTCAGATGACCGGCGATGAGCTTTGTAGGCAGCCGGTATGCAACTACGCAGCGGCGCGCGTAGAACGGATTTGAGAAAGGATTATTCAACAAGGTTGTTGCTCAGGCATTTCAAACCTTTTTCTGTTTCCGGCTGTTTTTGTTTCAGGCACTGCTGCATATAGAGGCGGAAAAGCTTGTGGATGCCCAAGACAAACTGGCGGTGCAGAACTGCTCGCTGTTTCTGGCCTCGTCGAAAGCACTTAGTAGCCTAAGCAGAAGTGTAAGCAGTAAAATTGCACGAGCGTAGTCTCAGTGTCTCGGTTTACATGCAAGACGAATTTTGATTGACAACTCATGATTCTGGTTTGCGCTTTTAGATCAGTAGCCTCTCCGCGACGCTGGGTGAGATGGAACAGTGCATTCAGCCGCTACAAAATGGCCTAAAGGTGAGTAACTATTCGTGCACTGGTGGATATTGGAATTTGGTGGGATCTCTGTTGCCTGTGGCTAAGGTGAGCGGCGAATCATATCTGTAGCACGTGGTGTTGCTGTCATTGTAGCAATTCAGGGCTGAGAGTAACGCAGCGGCGAGTCACGAAGCCTCACTACATATCCTCATCTCACTTCAGCCGTCAGTGTCAGGGGTGAGTTCTCGTTTATCATACCGCAGCTTACAGAAACACCATACGTGCAAGCAGTCCGTAGCTCCTGGCAGCGTACTACCCCTGCATCGGCTGGAAGGACCATGTCTTGCGCACCTAAGTGGATCTGCTTTTTATGGAGCTTAGTTGCTCGAGTTGCCGTCGCTCGTGCTGAACTGCTCCAACGGAGGGCTTTATGATGAGGCGGTGGATGCTCTGATGCTGGCGGACGAAGTGAGTTCGGTTATTCCCCTCTTGATCTCTTAGGGACGCCCGTTTTGGACGTTTTACTTTCCTGCTTCCCGGTACAGGCGCATAGTGACTCGGTAGAAAGTTGTTTTTTTTTCGGTGTGTCCTTTTCACAGAGAATAGCTTCTCTTCGAGCCAACGGATGCTGCGGCATGCGTTTGCTTGATTCTTTGGAAGTACAGGTGCTTCACCTCCCACTCTCATCAACTTCACGGGCTTGCCCACAATTGTATGTAGTTTTGATCGCATACACTTTGCACTGCAGTTACTGGCAAGGCTGTTTTTTGCATTCAACAGATGAAAGAAGCCCGGAATACATGCATGAAAGCAATGCTGAGACAGCTAGGGCAGCACGCCCAACTGGCTGCTTCTATCAAGCTGATTGGGTAGGTCCACCACGCATGCTTTAGCTGAGCGTATGGAGCCGAAATTTTTCACATAGCGTTGTCCTGCTGCCGTACTAAAACAGTACTAGATGCAGGCAAGTGCTGACAGCGTCGAAATTCATGGGGTCCGTGACTCTCTTTGACGCGTATGCAGCCCACTCCGCCGCCTGTCTTGCTCAGAAGAGCAACTAACGACACAATTTCTTCATCGGCGAGATGGAGAAATATCTCGTCAGCGTCACAACGCTGAAGTAACCTGCGAAACAGACCCAGCACAGTAAGTGGCCCCAAGCGGAAAGTGCAGGCAAATCGCTGAAGCAGTAGTTACTCCCACCAATACCAAGCATTTTATGGAACAGCTTGCTACACAACAGTTGCGATATACACTGTCTTTGCCGTTTGTTCAGTGGATTATGCGCAGCAGCGGAGCTGCTACGGGTTGACATTTTGCAAACAGCAGTGCATTATCGGTGAGCCATTATTGTCGCATCCGTCTTTTAAGGAGTCGCGGGTCTAGGCAGTGCATATATTTTGTAGTATGACTTTAGCGGTCTTAACGTTGAAGGCAAGCGTATACTGTTCCCAGGGCAATTTTTGGCAAGACGGATGGGCGCTTGTCGACGTGGCTGGCAGAGCAGGTGCATTGGTTTGTAAAGCTACTAAATCAAGAGCTTCTGAAGAGTAGTAGCAAAAACGTAGCAGTTGAGAGCTTCGAATCCGGAAGATCTTCAATCGACATTGCGGCAGTTGAGGCACTCGCGAATCAAACTAGCGTGCAACCTCCGTCTAATTTCAGACTGGGATTACTAGATCTCGCCACGGTATTCAGGCAGACATATAACGCTGCCACTGCATTCCGTCGAGTGCAGTGCTACTTCTTCCCGGTGGTCGCCTTTACGTTTGACCGTTACGTTGTGGCAGTGCATCGGCAGACAATTGAATGCATTGCTGCAGCGTTTGCGCGGGTGAGATCACGCACAGTTCCCAAGGGTGAACCGCCAGTCGGAATGCCTAACTCCCGCGAAGCCGTGCCAATTATTAGACACCCATATGTCTTAACACAGTGCTGCGTGCTTCGTAATGCATTCAGAGCATGAACGAATACGACTTCACGCCGTCGATGCTTCACTTTAGCCTACTGGAGAGCTCCCCTTGGTTCCAATCGTGCCTGTCTGTCATTCCAGGCTGTGTTTTTCTCCTGCGGCACGGGCCCGTGTCAAATTTGTACAATAGCATTGCAGAGGTATTAAACGCTTTTCAAGAGTGTCCCATCTCAACAACGGCACCGCGCGTCGTCATTTTGATAGAAAGTTTGCTCGTCTTCTGCATCCGCAAGCTGACTTCGATGAAGCCAGGGAACCGCGACGACTTTGAAGGGGAGATAAATGCGATTGAAAATAGTTTGCTTCAAAAGAAAGATGTTTCTGGAGATGCCAACACTCGTCGGCCAGAATTCTTTGTTCTCTGTGACATCTTCGCCTCCATTTTGATCTCAACAGTTGCAAGGCAGCTTGCACTGACAATTGCCTGTCACACAGGCCTGGACACTGAAGTAAGTTCTCTCAGAAGACTAGGTCCTTTAAGACATTTAGGACTAGTAGTTAAATGAGATGGCATTCCCTAAGGAAATCGGCTTCATGTATGTTATTCTTCGTGCCAGAAACTACGCGCACTCATGACCGAGGCAGGCCTCTGTCGCAGCCCAAACCCCCTCACAGCGGCATTGACAGCTCCGGACACGAATGCTTCTGCCCCAAACACACCGTCGTTGGCTCCATGCCAGCCCTTGGAGGCGACACTGAACCATCACGTTTCCTAAAAGAATGGGAGCCAGACTTGCCCTGTCACAGTGGCGACTTTTAGCCTATTCGACTAGCTGCACGCGCCAGCGTGCTGAAGTTGCAGGACTCTGATATCTTTAATTTTTTATATTTAACTACGCAGTCTACCCTAGTGTATACATTCCAATGCAGCGAAGGAAACAGCTTCACAGCGACCTAACGCAGAAATCCTTAGAAAACGCCGCAGCACACCGTTTCGCGGTCTATTAAAATGGAGCTAAAAGCGCGACTTCCACGAAGCGGCGGCTAAGCAGCGGCAGCGAACGTTAGTGCATCTACTGCCTGCTCGCGCGACAGCAACGGCTCATGGCCGAGCCAAGAATTCCACGCGTCAGCCGCTGTTACACCCCGAAAGGCGAACGCTGACAAGTCGCCTACTCGACGACAAGAACCTTAAGGAGGTTGGACCATCCTGCAACCTCCTCCTTGATTCCGTGCACTGCGACAATGCTGTCGCCTTCACTGACCAGCTGCAGCTCCTTAGCTGCAGCAAGTGCGTTGCGAATCAACTGGTCCGTGCCCTGGAAAGTCGGCACCAAGAACGTAGTAACGCCCCGAATGACCTGCAGCTGCTTGATGGTTTCCTCCGAAGCGCTCAAAGCCAGAATTGGCTGCATTGGCCTATACTTAGCAATCAGGCGGGCAGTGCGGCCAGTTTCAGTAAGAGCGAGGATGAGCGATGCGTTAATTGACTGAGCTGTCTCAACAGCAGCACGAGCCACTGCCTCCTGGGTGTCGATAGGAGTCATGGTAGCCTGGCAAGTGGCTCTGAACACCTGCTGATAGTCAATGCAGCCCTCGGCCTCGAAGCAGACACGGGACATGACAGTGACAGCCTGAACAGGGAAGCTTCCGTTCGCTGTCTCCCCGGACAGCATGACACAATCAGTACCATCAAGGACTGCATTCGCCACATCTGCAGCTTCGGCACGCGTCGGGCGTGGGTTCTTTGTCATCGACTCAAGCATCTGCGTCGCCGTGATGACGGGCTTTCCAGCAACGTTGCATCTGAAAAAAAAAGCGAAGCACCAGCCCCAAAGGCATGAAACCACTCTTGCCGTAATACAACTAGGACAAAGCGCGTGCGGAGAAGACCAGTACTTACTTTGAGATCATCATCTTCTGGGCAAGGAAGACCTTTTCAGGTGGGATCTCCATACCGAGATCGCCCCTGGCAATCATAATGCCGTCTGCCTCTTGGAGAATTTCATCGAAGTTGAGCAGACCCTCAACATTTTCAATCTTGGGAATGATCTTGATGTTGCGCCCCTTGGTGCCAAGAATGCTGCGGATATAGCGCACGTCGTCTGCAGACTGCACGAAGGACGCGGCAATGAAGTTGCATCCCATAGGAATGCCAAAGTTCAGAATGTCATTTTTGTCCTTCTCGCCAATAACGGGCAGGTCGACCTTAACGCCGGGAAGGTTCATGTTCTTCTTGTTGCCAATGATGGCCGGGTTCATAACCCTAGTCATGACGTAGTCCTTACCACACTCCACGACTTCAACAGATAGGGAGCCATCAGCAATGAGAATGGTATTTCCTATGAAAAACCAACAACACAAGGCCACATCTCCGGCGAAGTCGGCTTGGTCAGTTAGTGTGTGCATTGAGGAAGAAGACTATAAAACAGAAGGAGCTGGTACCTGGCTTGACAGAGCTGGGCAGTTTCTCGTATGAGCAGGCGATGCAACTCTTGTTGCCTACAAAACTGTAGTCAGTAACGATTTTGAGCATGTCCCCTGCGTTTAGCTCAATTGGCTTGTCACCCTGCAGAAACCCATGGAAATGCAACCGGAAAAGAAGATACAAGACATCAGCAATTGCACAATGAGCATGTGCACGCTACCTCGAGGCGTAGTGACGGACCTCCAGCATGCCAGTCCTGATTTCAGGACCCTTGGTGTCGAGCAACAAAGCAACCCGCTTTCCTGGGCGCTGCTTGAGAGCCTCCTGAAGGTTCTTGACCACGCGGCCATGTGCCTCATGATCACCGTGAGAGAAGTTAAGACGGCACACGTTCATCCCAGCATCTATCAACTGCACCATCTTGTCCACATCCCAGCAGCTGGGGCCCATCGTGCACACAATCTTCGTGCGGTGCGCACTGAAGTCCTCATCTTCGTGGTGTTCCAGGATCTGGGACATGCGGATATTGGTACTTTTGCCCAAAAGCTGCATCATGACTGAGCTGGCACTAACTAGGCGGAGCAGCCGTCCGGAACTGTCCGGAGCTGCGACGACTTGAGAGTGTGTAGGATTCGCCATCTTGCCTAGTGGGGAGTGCACAAGCTACAATAAGCCAGAGTCTGAATGAAAACACACCACATAGAGGAACAAAGTCTTTGCTGCCTGCGCCTTACACGAGAACCGGATCAAACGGTGAAGTATCGTGGAGGGCTGGGCAAAGCTAACAGGGAGACAAGCGAGGCCGAGGCACGTATCACTGCATCGAACCATAAAGCTCACTTCTCTTCGACGCAGTACGTGTTTCACGCATACCAAGTTAGAGCACGACACAAAACAAGAGTGCTACCCTGCACCGTCCAGTATCTCCTCCCCACTGTCCGAGCAGTGTGCGCCTTGCAGGTGCGGGGAGTGCTGTCGCTGGCCCTATGAGGCAGCCGTGGGACTGTTCGATGCTGAAATGGCCTTCAAGTCCCTGTTGCAGAGAAAACTTAGACCGTCATAATTTCCTGAGGGAACTACTTAGTATCTTTTTACTGCTAAATAGTCTGGCTAGGGGAGTGTATGCACAGCTCTGCCAGCTGGACTACAGCAAGCTCCAGCCTGAACACCGTGCTGCTTGCTAAGCGTGGACTAAGCAGCTTGTTGGTTAAGGCCATACACGCTTCCTTCAAGTTGCTCACACGATTCTGCCGAGCAGTCTTGACACTACGAGGAGCCCGGGCCTTATCTAGAAGTGCAAGACACGAAGCTAGCCAGAAAGACACCCCGTTTGAGGTGGATGAGCGATGTCTAGTGCAGAAAGTTGCAGGCTTACCCAGTGTGGACTGCTCTGTACAAGTCTGAGTAATAAAAGTTCTCACTTGTTTGTCAGAAAGTCACTCCATATTCTGGTTCATTCTGCTAGACGGCTTTCTCCAGTTTAGACCTCTGTAGGATGACTTGTGTGCCGGTGAAAATTTTCATTTTCCTAGCGAGACGTAGCGTCTGTTAATAAATCGCATGACTGGATTTTCGGTCTCCAGTTGTCTCTGCACTGGAGCAGCAATATCGTGCTGTGACGCTTCTACGGCGTCTACGTAAATGGACCTGGGCCCCTCCATAACTCTTTGAAAGGGCTTGAACTTCTGCTTGTAAGCTCCTTACTTCGCTTTTTGATTACTGTGTTGGTCGATTTTTCCTTTAAGAGTATTTTTTGTTGCGCTCCCTTCCACGTGTGCGCCCTAACGAAGGCTTAGGCACCTGGGCTTGTCTTATTATATAACAGTGGGGCGACAGCGCATTGAACGTGCCCGACAAAAAAGAACAGCGGGGCTACAAAAGAGGCATCAGGCAGCTCAACGTGACGAGGTGGCTTGAGGGCACCTCCGTACCTCAGAGCATACAAAAAACAATATCCCCTGCAGTACTCCGCGGAGCTGGTAGTGAAGCTTATGTTTGCTGCGACGCTCTGTAAGGTGTTGTACAAGCCTTCAAGCAAATGAGTTTATAGACCGCGCTGGCCAAAGTTTGACTGCGACAAGTCAGAAAGTGCCACAGGTCCACCGAAATCTACAATACATAAGCAGCGTGATGTGGCTTGCACCGCATTGTTTATGCACAGGGTGCCATTCAAATTACCCATGCTCGTAGGAGTTTCGCGGATCCCGACTGTGACTGCAGTACTCCAATACTCCTTTACTGAAAAAGAGCTACGCGATCTCCCCCACTAAGGCCCAAAAAGTTAATGGTCAGTGTTAACCAATATGTTGGTAGGCCATTTGCCCTTGTTAGCGCTAGGCCCAAAAAATTAATGCTCAGTGTTAACCAATATGTTGGTAGGCCATTTGCCCTTGTTAGCGCTGGAAATAATCACACTAGCGTCACACTTTACGTTAGGGCGTACCAGGGCAGTGCGCGAACACCGTGGGACCAAAGAACAGTAGCACTCAGTAAAAATGAGTGTTGCATTCAAAGGATGATCATGTTTCAGGCAGCCATGATTCGATTCAAGACTTCACAGAATCTCTTCGCCACCTATCAGGCAGCCACTACCTTGAAGAACGTGCAAAATGTAGGCTTCGTCGTGCTTACGGAAGCTGTAAAGACAGTTGAATAAGCGACTCACCAGGTATTCCAAACTTTGACTCGGCGGCAGCAAACTTTGGGAGCTGCGCTGCAGCAACATGATGAGCGGAAGCGTAGACCCCCTAGACAAGGCGACAGCAAACTGTGGGAGCCGCACTGCAACAACACGATGAGCGGAAGCGTAAACGCCCTATCTCTCTTACTAGCGCTTTAGCTCAACTCAGTCAACGACGAAGGCAGGTGCTGTAATGTCATGCCTAAATAGTGGCTTGGATTCAAAGATCAGTTCGTATATGCACGTAAAATTAACTATCGCCCATGTAAACAGATCTTAACCCCCCAGAACTGTCTTGAAAACCACGCACCGAGGCCTTCGCGGCTCGTGTTCTCTGGGTTGCACCTTCAAGCTCTTGGGTTCCTAGATTTGGAAAGGCTGCTTACTGCTAGCCGTAGGCCTGTGGAAAGCTAAAGTTCATTGGCTTATACGAATGCTGAGCGGCTGCCCACATCACCGAGCTTCACATGAGACGTTCCAATGCTGGGCAATTTGCAAACTGTGCAGTTCCTATAAGGCCACACTACATTGCTTTTTTGCCAACGAAGAAGATGCCGGTTTCTTATGGGCTAGAAACAGATCTTTTGACTGTCCGCTGTGACGGCGCTTCTTGAACTCGAGTGCAGCCCAGGCGCCGACAGTTGCGAACGCTACGGTTTATTTGCTATGCGATCCCGTATTAGAAGGGAAAGTGCGCGGGAGCCGAATGTGGCGTCGTGGAATTTTAGGCAAAAAGCACTTTTCCTCATACATGAGATAATGAGCGCCTATCCTCATTTGTTTTGAGGTTGTTCGGCGCCGCATTTGGGCCCCAACAAATCGTTCAAGCAGAAAAGGTGGCTGCACCCCGCAAAGACGTAAATAAAACTTCAAATATCAGCAAGAAGTAGATAGAAGAACGCATTATGCACCTCACTGCTGATGGTCAGACCAGTTTCGAGTTGAATTTTCACGCTGGCGCTGCGCATTGGTACTGTTCTAGCCTAAGTCATTTGCTCATCGAGGTGGTCTGGCAAATAGTAGTCTGGCTACACGGTGCCCTCCTTGTGGAGCTGTTAACAGAGCCGCTCATGTATCGGGACTTGGGAGCATTGATCGAGTCTGTACATTTTATATCAATGCGTTTTGGAGCTATGATTATTCTAGAAGCTAGGTGACACCGGAATCGACGCTGATGCACTAGCGGATAAGGTGCATACAGGTACCCGGTCAGCGCGCCTCGACAAAAATGCCCAAAATGTCGGGATTTCCCAGGTTAATCTATTGTTTTTTGCAGGCCAGAAGCAGCAACACAGCCATGGGAGTAGTGGTGATTTTCTCGCGACTGTAGAGCTTCACTAGTTCGTCCTTCTACATACGTCGGTGGCGCTATTGCACTGGGGGGCTGGCAAACTACGACATACTAAAGTGTCCTGCTAAAAAAGTGCTCTAAAGCGTCGAAGTAAAATCAAACTGTTAAATGAAAAGGTCCTGGTGCAATGATCATCGTGCAACGGCCCTTTAAGGTGGTGCGACTCTTCTCAAACAAGCAACGCAATATAATTTTAACCTTTTTGAAATGCAAAACTATTGCTGAGGGAAGCTAAGGCCAGTACCTGCGATAAAGCAGCAGTAGAACTCTGCAGTTTTCGTGCTCAGTATTCGGTGTTGACAAGAGGATATAAGGCCAGTACCTGCGATAAAGCAGCAGTAGAACTCTGCAGTTTTCGTGCTCAGTATTCGGTGTTGATATATCTGGAATATAACGCAGAAAGGCCTCCGTAGGAGCCAAATTATCTCTATTCTGTGTTCTACAGTAGGGAAAGTAATCTCCATGGGGAACTGGTGCAGCTAAAAATGCCGAATGCAGTTAGACAAACAACTAGTGTACAGCTATGAAGAACTTTATGCTTGGGAGATACTGTACACTGCTGTCGTGACTCCTGTATCTCAATCTGAACATAAGAAGTGTTCCATTTTTGCCGGACAAGGTGCATCTGACGCATTGAGTGCCGGCTCAGTGGAGAATGACGCTTTGGGGGACGGTGGAACCTACAAGTCTGCTTGCGACACTGTCCTACCGATTCCTGCTACCATTCCTTTTACTTATTTCTAAATGAATGCTTCTACCACAGTGATGGCAGATTAACCCAGACACCAACCCGTCCCAATCATCTCAAGTCAGCCCTGTGCTGCATTTAGTGGCATTTGGAACTCTGCAAAGCCGCCAAACAGACGTTAGCACCGCAGTTGCTTCACTTTCTGGGTAGGACACCAGTGACAAGATAAAACCGAGACTACAATTGTACACTGCATCCATTGCCGTTACAGAGTGCTGCGCCTTTTCTGCTTGACGCTCGCAACTGATTATTGCATACAGTCCAATAACTTCACAACTTGTGTGCCAAGCTTTCACGGTGGTATATATAGAGTATAGCATTGCATGCGTTGTGATGTGCTGTGAAAACATGCCTGCGGCAACTTCTAGGGGGAAGCTACGCTGAGAATAATTCAGCGACAGCACTATACTGTAGTAGCTTGTGCTATATCAGTAAAACCAAACAAAGCTAGAACCCAACTACGGTTAACTCCTCAAAAGAATCATGTGCTTCACAATCTTTTCTGGGTTCGCGCCCTGATCAGTTCGTGACTGGATCAAGCACGCAGTTTCTGCGGAATTAGCACGGATTCAGCCGATAGTATGCACACTTTTCGCAAGGGTTTGGCCAAATTGCAACAAAAGTATATATGAAAGCTACACTACAGCCAAAGTCAAGAAGAGAAAGACTTCACAGTGAAAGTAAACAACGAGCTGTGTCCAGCCCCTGTCGTTTGCGACTTTGCGCAAGCTGTTGCGGAACACGCATGAGAAAGCTCTCGTCTGCCTATATGACCCCTATGTAATTTGCGCATGGAGTCTGCACAGAAAATTTGAGGGATTGCTAAACTCAATGAAATTTCCCTCAACTCTCTACTGGGGCTCTCTATACGATCCCCATGCCTTGCTGGTATCCCTATAAGCCCTACGAAAGTTTGGCGACGGGATGCAGTAGTGTATAATTATTTTTGTTTGCCCTTCGTATTTGCCTTTAATTTGAAAAAAATGGTGGTAGTGAGCGCGTGCATCACCAGCAGAGTCCGACCCCTCCTGGCGAGGCAGTTCGTGGACATCCGCAGAGCCAAGCTGGAGGGCCTCCTTAACGCTTTCGTGAAACTCGTTGATTACTCGGGTATGCCGTGACTGAATCACTGCGCCTCAGCTGCGTATAGTAGCGCACGAGGGAAAGCTAGGACACAGGGTTACGTACGCGCCAATGCGGTTTACTGCCGAGAAAGGTTTGATACTCAGAAAAGAAGTGCAAGCTTCCCTATTCGCACGTTGCGAAGGATAGTGGAGGCGGTGTAATTGTACAGCCGCCGTGCATCGATTGTCTCTTGTCTCGTAATCATGCTGACATGAACCCAATAAGCTTTAGACGGGACATCGCGCTTGATTGCAGCTGAAGAAGCTCAGTATTTCCCACATTTTTGGTGCGAATTCAGGCTCTGATCACACGTACCTTGAGACAGAGTCGGTCCGGTATGTGTATCAGCCGGTGGAAAACCTCTACCTCGTATTAATAACTACGAAGGGAAGCAACATTTTCGAAGATTTGGGCACTCTCAGGATGTTTGTCAGCATAGTCCAGGTAAGTCATACTGATGACGTTTTGCCTACACTGCTCACCTTAATCGGTGGCCGAAATACCCGTTCCTCTAGGCGCCCTACAACAAGCTGGATTTTGCAAGGGTGGCTGCCTTTGGAAAACCCAGCATGTCAGACGACGTGTATTCGCTCTCGCTCCGCCTCTGGTTTTGTCTAGCCTTGCACCTCACTGTACGGTGCCAATTGTGCGCCTACGTACTGGGCTTTTGATGTTGTACTCACTTTGCTTGCTTTATCCTACACGCGAGTGTTGTTTCAAGAATGTTATCTATCTACATTTGTGCGGGTGGGATGGGTCACCGCTGCAGGACACCTGTGGAGAGAGCCACGGAAATGGCAGTCTAGAGGATAGCGTAGCGACGCACGCATTCGATATCGTATTCATGCTGGATGAGCTCATCAGTGGTGGCTATAGGGAAGCGCTGACACTGCAGCAGATTCAGTCTTATGTTGCCATGGACTCTCACGAAGAAAAGCTGCAGAAGATGATTGCTGAGGTAATCTGCGACCGAAGCATTAGCAGCAGCAGAAACACCTCTAGTAGAGTACCTCAAACCTTAAACGTAAGGAACTCGTAGCCGAATGTAACTCAATTTTGCCTGTGGAGGCCTTAGCGTGGCTTCTCCTGTGATGGAACCCGTGAGAACCCGGTGTATGAATCTATGGTGTATGAATCTAAGTAAGTGTACATGTGGCCATTCGGTCGCGAACCAGCCGACCCGTCTTGCATATATCTATTTAAATTTGACTGGTGCGGTGCTGTCGAGAGGAAGGATGCAAAGAGGGCACTGTCTTGCTGCCGTCGAGCATGAATTCGTTGATTCCGCAGGGCAAGGAGAAGGAACAGGCAGATAGGAGGCGCGAAATTGCTCAAAGACTTGAAAAAGAAAGACAGCTAGCAAAGAAGGCAGGGAAGGGGTTGGATGTTGCCGCATTCCGGGGTGCAACAGTGGCGTCTGAGCTGTCTCGTGGGCCTCCATCAGTGCCTGCCACTCATGGGGCCCCTGCTAGTGGCACGTACTGGGGAGCATCAACCCCAAGTGGGGGTTTATATGATGCTCATCAGCAACCGTCTCCAGCAGGAACACCTGGCGCCCCAAGAGGTGGCCAACAGTCAAAGGGAATGCAGTTGGGGGTTAGAAAACCCTATGGTGGAGATGATGGGGCACTGCAAAACCTCGTCCCGGATGAACAAATAAAGCAGCCAGCTGAACTTGCTGAGGCTCAGCATGATCAAGGTAACATTGTAGCATTGACTGCTTTTGCATTATGAATCTATAGACGGCGGCAATGAGTATTCTGGAATAATTTCCTTGCTGGGAGAAGAACATGGACCAACAGCTGCCCAGAGTGAATAAAGCGGACACATGCAATCTCCGTTGTTTCCTGTGAATCGTCCTTTTAATGAGTGTAACTTTTTTTGCTTTGTGAAATGGGTGCCTGCAAGCAGTATTAAACAATCCACTAGCGGACCCCGTGAGCATTCTTATTGAGGAGAGGGTCAAGGCTTCCATGCAAGCCGAAGGAGGTGCGTACATATTATATAAACTCATCTCCAGTATCGCACTTGTTACTTTCTCGCTCGCTTTCTAAGCAACTGCTGGAACATTTTTGTATTTTGCAGTCCTCAAGGAAGTGGAGCTTCAAGGGACCTTTTTTGTTACTGCGAACGACCCACAGCGAGGTTCTCTTGCAGCAATTCAGGTAAAGGAGCACTGCATAACGAGCTCACGGAGTGCCTTTCATTCGGAGCTTGGAGGGAACGGAGTCGACGTCGAAAACGCATAGAGAGATATGTGCTGCATCATAAAAAAATGACACCAGTAGATTTTGTGCAGATATGGTAGCTGTTTTTGTCGTGCTCGGTTGTACTCGCAGCTAACACCAGAAGACAGGCGATTTAAGATGAAGAGCCACCCAAATGTCGACAAGGCGGCGCTTGCTCAAAGCAATCTGCTGCAAGTTCGAGATCCATCCAGGCCGCTACCACCGCATCAGCCTGCGCCACTTCTTAAGTGGAGGATCAATGAAAAGGATGAGGTACGAGGATGCATTCAGTATCAGTGTCAGTGGGAGATTTGATAACTTCGGATGGCGTATTTTTTTGTTGTGTTTTCATCTTGTATGACTTCTCGCAGACTTTGGTGCCTTTGACAGTAAGCTGCTGGCCGTCAACGACGCCAGCAGGTACGGTGCTTACTGTTGAACTGGAGGTTACGGACACTTCGAAACGCTTGGAGGATATCCGCGTGTCCTTTATGTGCCCTGCCCAAGCAAATCCTCAGGTCGGCTGGCCCCTCAGGGACCCCACCAAAGCCAGTTTGCATGTTCTGCATAGATATTGACGTCTGTGAAAACGGATAGGCTGTCTGGATGCTGTTTCTAGTAATGAAAATGCACAATGTTTCTAAGCATTTACATCCATTCATGCGCTTGCGAGGCTGTCTTGAATGGTGAACAGGTACTGAGGACAGATGCTGGGACCACCGAACATGATGGAGTTTCTGTACACTGGTTCCTCCCCGAAATGGGGGAACAGCTCTCTGCGGCGACCATCGAAATCACAGCAAACACTAGTTTGACCACGCTTATGCCGTTTTCAGTGGAAATGCACAGTGGCGAAAGCATTTGCAACGTAGAGGTGAGCGGCAGGCGATAGTGGCCCTTGAGTGCAAAGCTTGATTCACCACTCACAAGATATGGCCGACAGAAGAGTAAGACTGACCTGTCGGCTTTCTGGTGATGCAGGTGGTACAGTGCAAGCACATGGAGACCAAAGCGGATATCCCCTTTAGCCTGACGCGCAGGGTGGAATACCTCCTTACTGTACACCCTTAAAAGCCTGCTTCAGCTGCTCCACAGTTGCACTCATGATGAGCAGGACGAGTGACAACTGCGCAGAACAGCTTGGCATAGGAGACGCATCATTTTCGTGTCCCCCAGATGCGCGGTGCATTGGTCTGATGCACGATGTACCCGCCATCGTGCTTACTTTTTAATGAACGGAAGCTCCACAAGTATGCGCCGAACTGCAGGCGCGATGCTAAGCGTGGAGTTGGCAGTGTTGGCGCTCAGGGCGTCATCTGCCCTGCCTTTCTTGTACAGCAACAGAACATGAGAACAGCGAGAGGGCAGAAGCAAGACGCCAGGAAGATTCTTTATCACTGCGTACCATTGCGTAGCGTAGGCAAGTCCCCGGAAGTTCGGGCAAGTGACTCTTAGAGCATATTCAGAAGACAGCTGACACACTGAGCAGTTTTCTATTCCGCAGATTGCTATATATTGCGCGCATATATTCTATACTTTAAAGTGCTCGTGAGCTACGTGTTCGGTAATGCTGCAGTGGGTTCGGTGGATAGAACTGTTCGTTCTGTACCGGGGCTTCTCACAAGGATCGCTTGCGCAGAGGCACTGTTGTAGAACGACTCGACAGGGAGACGCTTCGTGCGACCTGAGTGTCTTCCTATTGTACAGTTATTTATGGGAAGCCACGACAGATGTGTTTCTGCGAGGTGGCCAAAGCAAGACCATTAAGTAAATATTTGTGCAATACCTGCCTGAAGAATGTGGTTGTCCAGTCGTCCGTTTCGCCTGGCTCACTGCCGAAGATTTTCAACATTTAAACGTTTTAAGTCACAGTTTTAGGTAGTAGGGAGGTTGATGACGCGCCGAGGATTTGTTTCGGGGTCAGCAACAGTTGCAAAAGGACCTCAAGAATATTACTTCTGAGTGAGGAATCTACGGACCGAACACGGAGAAGCCCACTTGGCTGACGCCCCGCGTGCGCAGCCGAGTGTATCTGCTGTTCGGTGCCAATAAGAGTGTTTCGTTTGACAGAAAGCTCAACCAAGCACGCAGTAGATCCTCCCTCATTTCCTGAATGCATGTTGCTTCTGAGGGACGGGCCATTGATGTTTTCTATGCAATCGCTACCTGAGGGAAAGGCGCCTGAGGCATGGATACACATAACCCCTGGCCTTTCTGTGATGAGGTCTTTTCGAGGCCCCGATTCGTCGACAGGCATGACGTGAAAGCGTTTGCCAAGGGAGCATAAGGATACCGCCGACCGGATGCGAGCGGGCACCATATCCAGTAGCACCTTCGCACACACAAGAAGCAGCTCAGTTTGCGTTGCATTGCTTTTGAAGAACTCGCATAATTATGGATGGTACATGCGCCTGCTGTAAAGCAAAGTTGCGACAGATTCAAGCAGCCACATCTACGAAAGGGGAAGGTCAGCAAGCGCGGGACTTCTACCGACGCACTGCATCCTCCTGCATCTCTAGAGACCGCCACTTGGTAGCAAAGACATCCCACGACAACCGTAGCGGCGTGCAGAACACAGCGGATGGCAGAGGAAGTTTCAATCTCAAGGACTGCATTTGCGAATCGGATGTCCTGAGGGGTCATCACCACGAAAGCGTATGCAGGCACTGCGTGTAACTGGACTGGGACACACACAATGCAATGTGAAGAGGCAATGCCTCGCGAGGAAACGGGCTATTATCGAGATCCGCAACGCCTGTTCAAACTGATGCTTATTAAAATATGTTTGAATGCACGCACAAGACCAGCTGTAAAAACGAGCGCAGCAAGAGCCATATGTAATAAGGATGTAAACGGATAGGGGGAAGGACGTACAGAACACTGATGAGAAGTATGGGAGTGTCTCGCGAAGGGCGGAAAACCTCGAGCTCCCCAGATACCTGGACACTTTTCTTCTCTTGGCTTGGCCTAAAACTCACCATGGCGCGTCCTTCAAGCACGTAAAAGAGTAACAGCGACAAGCCACAACAGTTAACCTTTCCGTGAGCTCGAAGTGTCTTGCTGCCAGCCTCTAACTGCATCAAGCGTCCCGTGATTCCCTCATAAATGTGCTACTACGAACACGATGATGAAAGGAACTGCGGCATGCGCAGTAAGAAGAACATGAAAGAGACGTAAAATCTGCAGAGAAGAAACTATGAAGCATTCATACAGAACGAGGCACAAGGAACGGCAAACGCACTTGGGTGCCCAAACTGACCTCCCTCAATGACTTCCTTCTCAAGGGCCACATTAATTGAAGGCAGAGAAGTGACGTTCAATGTGATGGAGGCAACAAAAGACGCAGCAGCCGCAACTTCTCCAGAAAGCCAAGTTGGCAAGCAGTCATGCATTCGTCCTTTGCTCCCCAGCCGAACGGTGCAAAACCACCTGACCTAAAAAATAGCATTTTGGGGAGCAGCACCGATTTTGAACTCAAGAAAAAGCGAATACGTGACTTCAACGAAGTTTACGCATTCACATGTAGCGGAGCCAGCGTCAACTTCCAACGCAACAGTGCTAGTGAATTGCTTTGTTTTAAACTTGTCATCGCTGCGCATCTAAAGCACCGTATACGGAGCCACACCAAAAAGTGTTGTAAGCTGTTCTGAGCTTTACTCACATTCACGAGTGGACTTTCCAGAAGAATGCCTCCCCACGGCTGTTCAGAGGGAGCGGCTGGTTCAAGCATGATACGTGAATAGCCTTCTTGCATCGCTAGCAATAAAGCGGTCTGCCAGCTATCCTCAAGCGGCTGAATCGGGGGGACCACCCGGCGCAGGATTCGCACATCGTTCCACCCTGAGAACAGCCACAGCGCGGAAAGGCATGCCATGCACACTGACCAGTATTAACAAGAGCGACGGTGGCCAAACATGTTGACGTAAAACACTTTCGAGCATCGAACGGCGCTCCATACTTAGCGGCGATATGCTAAGGGAAGAAACGGGGTCTAGAGTCGCTTTTGAGCCGTATTGCATCCTTTTGTCCACCCAGTCTGTGTTTGTAGGCGAATACTGCCGCTGAGGTCCCCCAAGGTCCACGCTGCTGCCTCTCTGGGTCTCTCTATGCCGCTGCTGGTCAATGCCAGCCTGCCTGCTGCTCTTTGAGGTTGCTTCCGGAAGCCCGGAGAAAACTGGTGGAGCCTCCTTCAAGCAAATAGAACACCAGAAGTGGACTTGCCTGGAGGTTAGGCTCTGGAATCAGCCCTCTAGCGAAGGGAATGGAAAGCTTTCGAAAAAGCCGACCGGCGCAAAATATAGTGGTACGTTGCTCCTAGCTAAAAAAAGACAACCTTTGCCAACGAAACTGTACGAAATCATTTCCACACACAACTCAATTCGTAACTGCAAGCAGGTCCGTCTGCGCCCCATGCACGCCACACGAGTGAGTAGATACACGCGTGGAAGCGCCTACACATGCAGTTGTTCAATCTGTATCTGCAGGCGTCTGGAGGTAGCTGGGTACGTGTGCGCTGCTACTTTGTACCGGTTCTATTAATGCTTGGTGCAGAATAGGAATACGCGTGTGTGGGTATGCGTACATTTTGCGAGCATAGGCTACATACGTACGCTTACGTGTATGTGCGTATTGTACATGCATGCGCATTCCAATAGGTGTAGGCCTAGCCACAACCCTACTTATATCTGTTTAACTGTGAGAAAAGAGTTGTGTAGGGCCGACAGGATTTGAAGTATGCACTCATGACTGGCTTTGGTGTCCGGTGTAGAGCACAGCTGGACTTCAACAACCATACTGGAAAAACTTGCCACTCACAGTCACGAAACGCAGACACAAGTCACGCTGCGTCCTCCGCGAGGCAAATATACGGACGCTTGAAGTGCAATGTAAAATAAAAAGAGATAACTCAGTCGTTTTAGGTCGCTGAACTGCAGTGCTCACCAAGCCCCAAGTCAAGCTCAGCAGCTGCCGTCTGCCCTCCTCTGCCATCTCCCTGCAAAAATGCCCAATCCAGCAGGAAAATAATGGTACCGAATGAACTGAGATGCAGTCAAGACAGACGCAGAGAGAGACGGCAAGGTTGCCGTACGGGCATGAGCACAGAAATCGGTGCACGAAAAGCGCCGCGATTCGAATGGTCAAGAAGGGTCAGTAGGAAACCGCACTGCGATGCTTGAAGCTCTGCCTTCAAGGATGATTCTGTCTCGCATGCAACTGAGCACAGAGAAAAAAACAGCAGGTCAGCGCAAAGGCTGCCAGCGGATCGCGACGGTGTGGGGCTCTACGTACACCCGGAAATCCGACAGAGGAATAAAGACCAACGGCATATGAACAACAGTAGCTACTTACTTCGCAGGGGAAGCTCAATCAATTACCAATAGCATTACGTCTCACCTTCTAACTTGCCCACTAGTCCCTCATTGCGCTGCCGTTCATTCCGTATGCGGCTCCTTGCGTTGGTAAGAAGCGTTGTAAGCTCTCCGATTGTCCGCTCCTGTTCCTTGGCTTTCCTGTCTACGCTCCTGTGCTCGTCCCGTAGCGCTTGCAATTCCCGATTATGCTCTTCAGCCTCGATGCGGTAATTGCGGATTTCCCTTCGATGGGCCCTCTTCTCTTCTTCGGCAGCTTTTACCAAGCCTTCTAAATGCAGCACTTGCTGCTGCAGCTGAGCCACCTCAGCTGCAGCAGCACGCGACGCGGCCTCTCGTTGCTGCTGCACTTGCTGCAACGACTGTTGCTGTTGCATCTCGGTGGAGCTGAAGCACAGCAGCACCTTTTGGCCTCACATAAAGTTGGGCTTCTTTCCTAAGAGACAGCAAACTCCCTATTCCCGAAGTGACAGAGGCTGCCTTCTGCAGTTGCCTGCTTCTATTTGAGAATCCTTCTGCGACCTGGCTATTCAATAAGCTCATGCTACACATTCGAGCGTATGATCCCTAAAGACTCCTCTGCGGTACTGTGGGCTCTCACGCGATTCGCTGAGATGCATCGTTGAGCTGTGCAGTCAGTTGTTGTCTGCACCACATCGGAACACAAAGAAAACGAGGGAAAAGGGACGCTGTAAAAGCCTT